GATTAAGTTCAATATTTGAGGTTACACTGTATATATATATATATATATATGTCGTGCCAAATATGTAAAACTGGTCAATTAGCAAGAACTCATTTAAAATTAAGTCCTTTCTAAAATTTTTTCTTATACGTTTAAAGATATATTTTTTTCATTAATGTTGATGTAAAAATTTATAATTTTGCACCAAAAGGAACTTAGAAAACTTACCTAACCTTATTATAACAAGCGCAATTTATTTTAGCCCAACCCAACTAAATATATTTTAGATTTGTTTACAATAATTTAATACTAAACAAACACAGTGAAATATATTTTTTTCGTTAGGTTCAGAATGATTTTGGCGAAATTATTGCATACACAAATTTTCACTTGTCCTATATGGCAAGATGAACATTGATATTTAAGCCAAGATCGCAAGTTCTACCTATTCGGCACGACATATATATATATATATATATATATATATATATATATATAAGAACATAAGAAAAGGAGGAACACTGCAGGAGGCCTGCTGGCCCATACTAGGCAGGTCCTTTACAATTCATCCCACTAACAAAACATTTGCCCAACCCAATTTTCAATGCCACCCAAGAAATAAGCTCTGATGTGAAAGTCCCACTCAAATCCAACCCCTCCCACTCATGTACTTATCCAACCTAGATTTGAAACTACCCAAAGTCCCAGCCTCAATAACCCAACTAGGTAGACTGTTCCACTCATCAACTACCCTATTTCCAAACCAATACTTTCCTATGTCCTTTCTAAATCTAAACTTACCTAATTTAAATCCATTACTGCGCGTTCTCTCTTGGAGAGACATCCTCAAGACCTTATTAATATCCCCTTTATTTATACCTATCTTCCACTTATACACTTCGATCAGGTCTCCCCTCATTCTTCGTCTAACAAGTGAATGTAACTTAAGAGTCTTCAATCTTTCTTCATAAGGAAGATTTCTGATATATATGTCGTGCCGAATAGGCAGAACTTGCAATCTTGGCTTAAATAGCAACGCTCATCTTGCCATATAGGACAAGTGAAAATTTGTGTATGCAATAATTTCGCCAAAATCATTCTGAACCAAACGAAAAAAATATATTTCATTTTGTTTGTATAGTACTAAATTATTGTAAACGTATTTAAAATATATTTAGTTGGGCTAGGCTAAAATAAATTGATCTTGTTATAATAAGGTTAGGTAAGTTTTCTAAGATTCGTTTGGTGCAAAATTAAAAATTTTTACATTAACATTAATGAAAAAAATATATCTTTAAACGTGTAAGAGAAAATTTCAGAAAGGACTTAATTTTAAATGAGTTCTTGCTAAATGACCAGTTTTACATATTCGGCACGACATATATATATATATATATATATATATATAATGCAAATATCGCAAACCAAGCGATACAAGATGCAAAACAACCACGGGGGGGGGGAGTAGAATAATAGCTCTAGGCCTTTTGTGTTGCAATCAGCACATCATCAGGAGCTTGCAAAATTGCAGAAAAGAGGAGGGGTTCTAGCAAATAACGTTCCCAGAGGACCGCCTCTGGGAACGTTATTTGCTAGAACCCCTCCTCTTTTCTGCAATTTTGTAAGCTCCTGATGATGTGTTGATTGCAACACGAAAGGCCTAGAGCTATTATTCTACTCCCCCTGTGGTTGTTTTGCATATATATATATATATATATATATATATATATATATATATATATATATATATATATATATATATATATACATATACAGTGGACCCCCGCATAACGATTACCTCCGAATGCGACCAATTATGTAAGTGTATTTATGTAAGTGCGTTTGTACCTGTATGTTTGGGGGTCTGAAATGGACTAATCTACTTCACAATATTCCTTATGGGAACAAATTCGGTCAGTACTGGCACCTGAACATACTTCTGGAGTGAAAAAATATCGTTAACCGGGGGTCCACTGTATATATATATATATATATATATACAGTGGACCCCCGTTAACCGGGGGTCCACTGTATATATATATATATATATATACAGTGGACCCCCGGTTAACGATATTTTTTCACTCCAGAAGTATGTTCAGGTGCCAGTACTGACCGAATTTGTTCCCATAAGGAATATTGTGAAGTAGATTAGTCCATTTCAGACCCCGAAACATACACATACAAACGCACTTACATAAATACACTTACATAATTGGTCGCATTCGGAGGTAATCGTTATGCGGGGGTCCACTGTATATATATATATATATATATATATATATATATATATATATATATATATATATATACATATTATATATATATACACACACGTATGTATTATACTCTGTTTAAGATCAGATAAATCAGAGAAGCCCCACAATGTGAAGAATTGAACTTGGGCTTAATAAAAAAAATTATGTATATTGTGGTGTACCTAATAATGTTAGGTTAACCTTATAATGTGTTTAAAAGCTCTCAATAACACAAACAGGTTTAGAGTTTCCCTTAAATTTAATATTAATGTTTTAAACCATTATTTTATTGATATAAGTTCTGAATAACTAAGGTGTAACAAATACTTGTCAATGCTCAATAATACCCACATAGAGACAGATCAATTAATCTCCTGAGTTTGTCTCTATAAGTTATATTTAGGCTTTGTGAATTTATATGTTTTATATAAAAATATACAGTGGAACCTCAAATACCGAACTAAATCCGTTCCAGGAGCTAGTTCTAAATTCAAAAAGTCTGAAAAGCGAAACAATATTTCCCATAAGAAATAATGGAAATACAATTAATCCGTTCCAGAATCCCAAAAATATTCACAAAAAAAAATACATTTTATAAAGATTAATTATAGTTTTTCATACACACAACAAATATAGTGTTCAATTATGTATTAATAAATTTAAATAAACATATAAAATAATATTTTTACTTACCTTTATTGAATATTGGTGATGGCATCTGGAAGATAGGGAGAGAGGGAGTTGGGGTTAGTGTTTGGAAGCAGAATACCCCTCCATGAGGACTTTAGGTAACATAGCCCTCTCTGGGGTTACTTCCCTTCTCTGTATTTTAATGCCACTACTATCAGCTTGAGAGTCACTGAACCCATCTCACTAAATAACTGTCTACAGTCGTCTGTTTCTGTCTCACAAAATAACTGTCTACAGTCCTCTGTACATCCTGGCAAGCTCAACAACTCACACCATTCTCATACTTCTGTATTATTTCCTTCTTCACATCTATGGTGTTTCTCACTTTCTTTACCACAGGGGTACCACGCTCAAGTTTCTTTGGGCCCATGGTAGCTTATTTCACAGTCCCACAAGCACTAAACACAATGAAATAATCAGGTTAGTGTTCACTCAAGCATCAACAAAACCAGACTGGCTCACAGTGCCTGCACGGGGACACAGACAGAGCGGGCTGCCGGACAGGTCCGGTACCTGGCGGTTCGAAAATAGGGGCGAGTTTGATAATAGGGACAAAGTTGGTTTGAAAAAAGCGTTCGATTTTCGAAAAGTTCGATAAGCGATACATTCGAAATTTGAGGTTCCACTGTATAAACCACCAACAATTTATTGAGATTGTTAATTAACCCGAGAGACTTAGTAACCCAGTATAACTTAGTTATTAGTAGTACATTAATGAGGAGTGCCAGAGTATTGGCAGCTAGTCAGATGCAAGCCAAAGAAAGGTAAGGTAGTTCAAATTCCCTGGATCAAGAGCCATTCACCAGCCAAAAAGCAAAGCTCCTCCTTGGGATGCAAACCACAAAAGTTGACTAACACCCAGGTACCCTACTTACTGCTAGGTAAGTTCGGAAGACGCACACCTCATGTTTCCACGTTCACCTGACGGAGGATCGAGCCTCCATCACCTCTTGCGCTGCATGACCCACATGGGTTTAGTGCTTTACATGACTTAATTTCCACTCCCAAGATCGAACCTGTGTACAACACCGTAATTCACACAACCATTTAATCAACTACAGAAACTCAAGACTTATCGCCAGAGGACAACACTCAATACCGAAGAATCCTGGAATCATCGTTTATCTCTATATCCAACAACTTCAACCAGAATAACGGTTTCTATAACAGCTGAACCACTTGCCAAGAAACTTCTTCATCGCTATCCCACATAAGAACATAGGAATGGAGGAACACTGCAGAAGGTCTACTCATATATTTATCCAATCTCTCTCTTCCAAGCTACCCAAGATTTTAGACTCTAACCTCACTCGGTAGATCATCAGATGCAGCATTCTCAACCTGACTATAAATACTCTCGTACCTTCCACCCAGGTAGATCTGTTTGTGACTTGAAAAAGCTCACTGTGTGGGCGAAACGTTGTCAATAAAGGATCACATTATACTGCATATGTTTATATTTCCACTGGGTCCCTCAGTTTTGCTCACCTGTGGGGTTGAAGGGAGGGGTTGAGTCTCGGCTCCTGGCCCCGCCTCTTCACTAACCGCTACTCCACTAAGCTGCATCATGTACTTGTAGAAATAAGTTATTATTATCTCCTGGCTACGTGAACCTTGTCATACCTCTTCTTTAAGCTGTGTATGGATTCTGTCTACCAGTCCCCTGAGCTAATGGAACTACCACTGAACCAGGAGCTGCACCTCAACCATCACAAGTCATACTTCTCAACTTTTAATTATAACTTCCATAACAACACATCTAACTTAATTATTCATAAATCTCATGATGTAGTAGTCGAGGAATTTATAAAAATGCTATGCATACTATGAACGATTAAAAAAATAATGTTTATGATATTTTGAAAATATTCTTAATTTTAGTTTTTAATGTTATTGCTCTGGATTATAAATATTATTATAACTCAATATTTGAAGAATTGAGACACTTAATATTAAAAGATATATTACCTAAGATACGTGTCAGGAGGTTAAACTTATTTCCGAATTATGTAATTTCTTTATTTATGTGATATACGAAAAACTAATTTTTTTCTATAAAAATCAAGAATATTTTAAAATTTATTAAAGCATAGTAATAGATTATATTGACTCCTACATCTTATTATGGTTTTATTCTTTTTCTAATGCATTATTTTCATTATTACACGAGACTGTTCTAAGCCACATAGCTGTCACCTGAAACGTAAACATGTCTGGTCTGCTGGTAAGGAATTTAATTTTATATTTTCCTGTATGTCCTTCAAGGAGGTGTAAATTTATTCAGGTACAGGTACACATAAATACAGTTACATAAATTATCATACATTGCAGCATGTGTACATTACGTAGGATAATCCATAAACAAGCCAAAGTGACTTGTTTTCCATTGGGGTCCTTGATGCCGGTGAAGTGTTCTGGATAAAAGGAATTGTAATTCACCTCCACTGCCTTGGATCAAGCATGATTTCTCATTCTGCTAACCAGTGTGACCCCGCAACTGGTGTACCACTTCCCCGAGATTTTGTGAAATTTATGTATGTATGTATTTAATGCGTGCGTATATATATTCATGTAATGTGTGTGTGTATGTAATGTATGTATTATATAATGTGTGTGTTTGTATGTATGCTATGTATGTGTTATATGTATGCTATGTATGTGTTATATGTATGCAATGTAAGTATATAATGTATATATGCAATGTATTTATGTATGCTCATGAATATATGCATGTAAAGTGTGTATATAAATTTTTCTGAGGTTTATACATTGCTAGTTGTATGTATGAACATCGTTAACAAAGATGGCTTACAACCATAAGGACCCACGGTCAAACCCTGGGTGAGGTGGCATGTAGAAGGACGAAGGTTTCAGATTATTTTGACGACCTCAGAATGTTAACCTGGAAGGTTATTAACCTGAGGTAACCCAAGAATGCCAGGAAGTGCGGTTTATTTCTGTCAGGTTCCTTTGGTCCTGTTCCCTAGGATACAACCACAACAGTTGATACCTATTTACTGCTAGGTGAATGGGGACAACTGGTTCAAACCTGAGTCTTTCATATGTAAGCCAAAGGTACAACCACTTGAACAATGAGCATTCTAAGACAAAGAATTTATTCAGGTTAAAAGCCTGATTGTTTGTGTAAATTATGTATTTATGTCAACCTTAAGTTTCAAAAGAATTTTTTTTTTTTTTTTTTTTTTAATTTTGATTTTTTTTTAATTTTTTCCAAATTGTATGTTCACATTTCTCTTTCATTGATGTCATCCATATTTTCTTCAGGAGCCAACTTTATATGTGATCAAAGGCATTGCCATTCTTGACAATGATGGTAACCGTCTCCTGGCCAAGTACTATGATCCAAGTGTTTTCCCAACAGTGAAGGAAGAAAAAAAGTTTGAGAAGAACTTGTTTCAGAAGACACACCGAGCCAATGCCGAGGTCATTATGCTGGATCGGTTAACATGCGTTTACCGTTCTAATGTTGATCTCTTCTTTTATGTTATGGGGTTGTCACATGAGAACGAGGTAGGTTTGTACAAATTCTTTTAAAAACACTTGAACATTTCAGTACATCTTGGAATATTAAGAGAATTGTTTGAATATTCAGCTTTATAATAAACAACATTTACTTTTTCAGCTGATTCTTGTATCTGTTTTGAGTTGTCTCTACGATGCTGTGTCAGCAATACTGAGGAAAAATGTGGAGAAGCGCACTTTGTTGGACAACCTTGATATCATCATGCTAGCATTGGATGAGATTTGTGATGGAGGGTTAGTGAATGTTCGATAATACTACCTCATAACTTCATGATAGACATGTACAACAGTTTCTTATTTTATTTTAATAATGGAGTAATTTCTTGTTTTGACAGTGTCATTTGAGCATTTGAAATATGAATGAAGCCTCCTTGTACCATATTTGAATCCTTACAACAACTGCTTCATTGTTTTCCATCTTTACATTAATGATACCATGCATTCATTGGTTTAAGGATTGGTGGAGATGTTGCAGTTCGATGGAATATTTGATTAATGATTTTCTTGTACTTTTGGAAGGACAGCTAGGGACTATGTTTCCTTTGTTGGATCATGTCCAGGATGTTAAAAATATGGATCATAATATGTAAGTAATTTAGACATAAATAAATTGCATTTTTCCTTATGCAGTGTTCCACTGGAGACAGATCCTCAAGTAGTAACTCAACGAGTTTCTCTGAGGATGGAAGAGAGTCCATTCAACGATCAGACAGTAACTCAGGTTAGTTGGCTAGTTTAGTGTTGTTCTTTATTGCTTCATTTAAAAGTGGCTGAAGAAACAGGCTTCGAAGGTTTTGTAGCTGTAAATTATCTTGGGCAGAATATTGAATAATGTAGTTTTCCTGCTTATTTATTGTATTTAGAAATGTCTTTTTTTCATAAAACTTACATAACAAATATGTAATTAAGCCATAAATAACAGACTAATTATTTTTGGCCTGAAACCTGCAGATATCCTATGTTGGTCACTGTATTTTTTTTTCTTGTGCATTAGTTTAATAATATATAAGTACATACTGAATATATATTTGTCTCTTAAAGCACTGTGCTTCTCTGCATTTTGTTTGAGCCATGTTGCTATATAGTATTCATGCCTTTATGTATTGTCTTCTTATGATAGCATTGCTTTCTTCTCTAATACTTATTATATTACACTGTGTTTTGGGTTTATTGATTACACTACTAAATTACAAGATTATACACCTGATTTGTTTTCTGAATGTCAGAAATAGATGGGGATGTCTCAGTTCAGATGGTCATTGGATTTGTGATGTCTGTACATTTCTGACAGTGCAGTTATTGAAAGAGCAATGGTGATTGTGTGTATTTTTTTTTTTTTTTTTTTTTTTTTTTAGATAATGCAGTAAGCATCCCATTTTTTGCTCATGATTTTATCTGAGCTTAGTAAATTATACAAACACAATCAGCTGGAGTGTGACTATTTGTATCATAAATTACAGTACCTGCATTATTTTGTATAACCTAATCACATTCATGTGAAAAGTGTCATGCATACATACATACATTTCTTTTTTTCAATGCACAAGCTGTATCCCACTGAGGCAGGGTGACCTAAAAAGAAAAGGTACAGTTTTTTTCCTTTTACATTTAGTAATTTATACAGGAGAAGGGGTTACTGGCTCTTGCTCCCTTGCTCTTGTGACACGCATGTATTATGGAGGAAGAATTCTTTTCCACTTCTCCATGGACACATACATGTACAGTGGTCCCTCGCTTTCCGTAGTTCTCAGCAATCATAAATTTCGCCAATCATAGGGGTATTTTCGCATAAACATGGACTCGCTTTTCATAGGTTGACTCGTGAATAGTAGTTCGTCCGGGACGCGTACGCACGGTGTGAGCCAGGGCGGCCTCCCTACCCAGCCAGTCTGGCATTGTTTACCAGTGAGTGAAGGTCCCCTCAAGTGCTCCTATGAAATATTTCATAATATTCCACTCATTTTAGTGCTTGCAATTACTAAATAAGCTACCATGGCTCCAAAGAAAGCTCCTAGTGCCAAGCCTGTGGTAAAGAAGGTGAGAAATATGTACAGTGACAAAGTCTTGGGCCATTTTAGGGAAGTGTTAAAGAGACGCCAGAAACAGAGCTCCCTCCACAGTTACTTTGCAGGACAGGACTAGAGTGACTCTCAAGGTGGTCCTAGTGGCATTAAGAAACAGAGAAGAGAAGCAACCCCAGAGAAGCAATTGGTACCTGAGGTGTTGCTGGAAGGGGTTTCCCCTTCCAAACTGTAAACAATCCAATCTCTCTCCTCCTCCAGTCTCCCATACACTAAGAAGAAACTCCAATAAAGGTAAGTGTTATGCTGTTAATGTTTCATTCATCATTTTCCATTGTATTGTTTATGTACTATATGTATATTTCATGTAAAATTTTTTTTTTGTTTTAATACTTCTGGGTGTCAGGAACGGATTAATTGTATTTACATTATTTCTTATGGGGAAAATTGATTCGCAAATCGTAAATTTCGTTTATAGTAACGGCTCCAGGAACGGATTAATTACGAAAAACGAGGGACCACTGTACATACATACACATGCACACATTCTCACTTAAATGCATAACAGTTCTCATCTGAAATGAAATTTCACATTAGTAGCAGTATATGTGCATTGTAGTAAATATGTCATCTGCATTTACAGTGTAAATGCAGATTTTTTAACTGGTAGACAGATATGTGCTTTATAATGTTATTGGAGTGGTAGATTATGTAATGAGTTCACTTGGTCATCTGAAATGAGATGGCAAGAAAACTATTGAATGAGTGGTAGTGAATGTGTAAACTTCTTTGAGCCACCCTACTTTGGTGGGAAATGACTGATAAGGTAAAAAGAAAATTATTGTTTGCAGCAATACTTAAGGGACAAACCATAACAAACCTCTCATCCTCATTTTATCGTTGTCAAATTATTGTTGTAATTCCTTGTTTTCTAGCTGGTCCACTTACTAATGGGTGCTCCCTAAAACTTCTCCTTCTGCTCTCTTTCTTCCATGTAAGTCAAGCATGGCTGGCTGGTTCCTTGGGTTTACTGCTGAATGATGCAACCATTACTTTTGTCTACATTATTTTGCTCCTAATTATCCTAATTTTTTTTCTCCACCATCAGTAGTTATCAATAATTTTCTCATTGCTTAGGTTTGACCATATATTAATGCTTGAATAATACAACTTATTATGGCATTAGAGTATGAAGCTAAATAGCTCTTTTGCTTATTTTATAATTTACATAGAAAAAATTAATTAAAGTCACAGTACTATGGATTGTGCAATTAAAAAAGAAAAAAATCCATACTTTAGGGTGAAAATCTTGAGGTCATCTCAACCCATTCTGGACCATTATGGCAATTTTCCAAGCTAGACCATATCTTTGCAGTTCCCTCTCCAGAATGTTAGGTCATTTATAAATTGGATGGAAGTGCTTTCTTGAGGAAATTTACTGAAATATTTCTCTAAATTCTCAACTGTGGTGGGCACAGTTCTGCTAACCACTAATTAGCAGAACTGACTTTTTGTTTAGTGGATTAGCATTTCTGCTTACCTTGGAAACCATTAGCGGACCAATTAGCTTCCTCTAAATAAAGTTCTGCTAACTTTGAGTCCGCTAAAAAAAAATTTCATACGTTGTTGGTTGCTAGTAGTCAGAAAGCAATGCCTTTTCAATGGCGCACGTGTTTGTCCCTGTCTGTTGTGGGCATTTCTCCAACAGTCAGTCAGGCATGCTATTGGCTGACTACGTGTAAACGTGACTTGTCAGTGCAGCAGCAGCAGCATCTGAGCAGCATCGTTATAGTCTTACAGTGCAAGCTGTAACCGGGATGTGTAGTCGCTTATCATTATTAACCCTTTGAGGGTCAACAGGCCCTCTCCGAAACTCGTTCTCAGGGTCGGCCAAATTTAAAAAAAAAAAATTATTTTCTCTTATGAAAAGATAGAGAATCTTTTCCCGATCATAAAGACACCAAAAGTTTGAAATTTGATAGAAAACTTACGAAATTATGCTCTCGCAAAGATAGCGGTCTCGGCGATGTTTACGCATCGGCGATTTTGCCCTCTTTGAGCCCCATTTTCGGCCAATTTCGCTGTACTAGTCGACAAAAAACATGAATATTTCGCTAGAAACTCCATTTTTTTCTATCGAATGGGTGCAAGAAACCACCCATTTATGAAATTCAACTATCCAGTACAGTGGTCAGAATTTAGCAATTTTGCCAATTTCACACAAATTTCAAAAGATGCCAATTTCCGAATAGGGTCCAGAATAAACAAGAAAGACATTCCTGGCACTAAAATGTCATTTCCTCTAGTCATTAGTCACGTCTCAAGGCCCCTCTTATATTCTTTTGCTTTCCATTTTGAATTTTTATTCTCACAAAAAATATAAGATTTACTGTTATGCAGACTACTGCATTAGTGTAAAAAATGGTATAAATATTATTGGTGCACTTGTGAAAGAATATTAGACTCACCAGTTGACGTGTATTGCACGCTTGGCATGATTTGTTTACTTTTGAAGTTTGGTAAAAATCGAACATTTCTGCTACTTTGAGCTCAATTTCAAGGCACCTTTCTTTGCAAAACCAGCCAAAATCATCTCAATTTCTGTAATATGTCTTCCATTCTATAAAATGAGACCAAGAAAACTAGAATACAACAATAAATACCATACGAAAATACACTGCAAAGTCGCTGATTTATTCCAAAAAAATGGTCAAAGTTTTTTTTTTCTCATTATGCACTGTGTGCTGCAGGATTTTTTTTAGACTGTGCACACTGACCACATAGACCCATTCTTTCATATGAAGGCCTACCAGCTTTCTCCCACTAGATTTGAGGCCGCTAGAATTTATGCGTACTAGTACGTCAAAAACCCCTATGCGTAAAACGTACTAGTACGACGAAAACCCTCAAAGGGTTAACAGGGGAGATGCTTCTGTTTTGCCTGAGGGTGTTATTGAGGAGTCTGCAGCGAGTAACATATTGTTATCGGATTGTATTGAAGTAAAAGTAATAGCAGACTTCAGTACTTAAGTAAAAGTAGTGAGCAGTTTCAGTACTTCTTAAAAAGTAAATACTAAAACAAGTTACTGAAGTACAGTACTCAAGTAGTTTTACTTTGTTACTTTACAACACTGGTATTTATACTCGATTGTTAAAGGTGAGTACTATTTGCAACACTGGCCTTTCCTTTAGCCTAAAAATTAACAAAATTTCACTTTTTTATCAGAGTTTTCCTTATTTTGGAGCAATCTTGTCTCGTTAAAACCTTATATCTTATTAGGAAGCTCTCCAGGTCTGTTCTAAAAGTCTTAGAAGTAAAAGACAAAAAACTAAACTAAATCTGAATTCATGTGAAAAAGTTAGCATTTAGCATTAGCTTCCACTAATTTTCTTGGCCGTTTAACTGTTTAGTGTTAGCAGGGCTAATTTTTTAGTTATTGGATTAGTGGTTAGCGAAGCTAAATTTTCAGTTAGCCGTGCCCACCACTGGCTACTTTACTTATCCTTATCATCATCTTTCTTTCTTTCAACATACCAGTCGTATCCCACTGAGGTGGGGTGGCCCAAAAGAAAAAATGAAAATTTCTCCTTTTAAATTTAGTAATATATACAGGAGAAGGGGTTACTAGCCCCTTGGTCCTGGCATTTTAGTCGCCTCTTACAACACGCATAGCTTACGGAGGAAGAATTCTGTTCCACT